ATTGTGGTGGCTTGCATAGCGGTCAAAGCAAAGAAGCAACCGCCAATATAAGAGTTGCTGCGGATGATCATGGAGGCATGGACAAAGGTGATGGTCTCATCCAACAACAATGATCACTTGCTAAGAAAGTAATCGGACATAGTGCAGAGCTTACCGAGGGAGCATGGATCGAGGGTGACGACCGCTTGACATCTGCATCGATGTCGATGCAGATGCAAAGGGGGAGGGGTCGAAGCTGAGATCCGCCCAATGGGTTAGCGATTAAGCAATCACCATCTTTGCCATAGACGTCATGGCGGCCACCATCATTTGCGTCGACGCTGATACAGAGTGGCATGGGGCAAGCGGCGATGAGATCGGTGACACACTCCTCGTGGAGGCAAGTGATGTTGCAGTGAGATAAAACCTTATCATCATTGAAGGCAACTAGGCAATTGCATCGACGTCAATGCCAACAGCGTCACTACCCACCACCAAAGATTAAAATTATATTTTTATCCTTTATTTTCATGTTTCTATCGATGAAATTGACATCGTTAGGATAAATAAACTTAAATGTTTCACTTTTGTAGTTATAGGGATGTTAATAACTTTTTAAAGTATAAGAATCGAAACACTAAAAACAACTAATTATACGAGGTAATTTATAATTAGCTCACTCATCTCCTTCGAATATTAACGTGAGAAAACAAAGATCAAGTGCTGATTAGAGATGGTTCTGTTTTTTATTACGAAAAAATAAGAAAAACTAATAATTTTAAAGTAAAAAAAAATCATGATCTAATTATAACTTTAAATGCAGAATAAGATATTAGTCTTATTGAAGTACTAAGCCCACATACCAAACATATCTATTTTTTTTTTTTTGAAAACCCTGACTAATATAATCGATAAAACTTGGACATATATTATTGCAAGATCTCGATCAGGTTCTGGTTTGCATGCTATACAATAAAATAAATGGCTCCAAGCCGTTTCTTATGAGCACAAATTTAATTACAAGTTACTTAATTGGTAAACAAGCAACTACTTCTTTGAGTAATAAGTGTTTCCTAAATAATTCTTAGGAAATTATTTATTGACTGAGCTTTGTCGATGAGAAATTGAAATTAAAATATTTGGGGGAGAGTTTAAAGGTTGAAATTAATATATTTAAAGTTTTAAATATTAATATGACATATAGGTTTTTCTAGATATTAGGATCATTAAGGATGTATTAGGCAACATATTTGAAATGTGTATCAAGGACCTAATCCACATTTTAAATATGAATAAGTATTTGATAATTTTTTAAAAATTACCTATAGCCTATTATATTACAAATGCTCAAATGTTGATGATACTTCAAGGTAGCATCAACATTTCAATACTTGTGGGATACTAATATATTTTTTTAAAAAAATTTCAAAGTACCCTATGACATTATCTAAAATTATAAGATTATCAATATGATTTAGTAAAAAATCAACAAAATTTATGTCTTGGTATAATTTTATTTATTTATTTCAAAAGATTATTTTATATTCATTTATATGATTATATTTTTACTTATTATATATTTGGCTAATACAAAGTTTTTTTATGATTACATACATTCATTTCATTTATTTATTGAAATTATATATATATATATATATATATATATATTAGTAAATACTAAAAATATTAGAAGAGTAAATTTATCATATAATATTCAATTCACTTTTGAAATATTATTTTGTCAAGTAACACTTGTATAACTATATATTATTATGTTAATGTATATTTAGAATATAATTTTTATTTATTATTTATCAAACAATCAGAACATTGTATAACTATATATTCACTCAAGTTTCTTTTTCCAAATGTACATTAAAATTATAAATGTGTTCCCAAACACAACATAAGAAACTTAGGTAAATCAAATTTAGCTAAAGTTAGTTTTATTAATTTAAATTATAATATTAATAAATTATAAAATGATTATAACATCCTTAATATTCTTATTGTCGTAATAATCAAGCATTGAGTTATAAATCAAATCAAGATTCAATTAAAAGTCATCAATATTTTTTTTTTTCCTCATTTTTCCATAAATGAGATCGTAAGAGGAGGTGTGGAGATCATGAATGTAGATCCTTCCAAAGTGGGGTCAACATATCATTTTCTATTAAAGATACAAATTCTAAACACAAGTGTTCTTTTTTCTTTATGCATTTCTTTGATTTGTTATTTATCGTTGTTTTCTTGTTTCTTTTAGTTGCATTTTCAGTTTCAAGTCTCTTAAAATGGAACTCCAATGAAAATTTCTTTTTTCTTTTTCTTCTTATTTAGTGTGTGACTGACTGTAGAATGAGAATAATTAATAAAAATATTAGTGACAAAAAATCTGGGATTGGACCATTTATCTATATTCAGATTGGTATTTTAGATGTGTTACCAGTGCAATTTTCAGATATAGTATACTCATTGATAAAAGATCTTATGCTTATTGATAAAAGATCATCGTAAAGACACACATGTAATAACATCTCTATTTACTTTTATTTTTAATAATCTATAATTCGAGGATTAACCACGGATTTGAGTACACAATTGAGAAAAATATCTTACTTAAAGTCTGTATAAATACTCATATAAAATTAATCTATTTCATAACATATTTCTCAATTTTACATGGTATGAAAGCTCTTTTTCCTTTAGCAAGACTTTCCCTTATTCGTTGTCCGATGATAATAATTTGTCGTTGATCTATCGGTGATAGCAATACTTCTCCCCTGCTGATATGTCGTTAATCGACGGACTTCAAGTCACTACGATTGCTATTCTGCTTGGCGGTCTTTCTTAAACTACCATATCTTGCTCGGCAAAAGCGGACTTCAAGCCACTATGGTCGCGGTGCTGCCTCTCCTCCATAGTCATTTCCTATAACATTGAACCCTGCTTCCCCATCTCTTCACCGATAGATCCTTCTCACCTACAACTCCTGACTTGAAAGATCTTTTGATTCCTCACATTCCCTTGTGTGGGGTTGATGTCATTGTCTACCCCACAAAGTGACATAGGGCTTTGCTCATAAGGTTTGTCACCTTAACCCTCTCATAAGGAACCTCCCTCTTCTTCCTCACCGGTGAACCTCCTCTGCCCTCACCTCTTCTCCCCTAATCTGCCTTGTCGCAATTGTCTTCCTCTATTTCCTGCCTCTTCTCTCCTAATCTGCCTTGTCGCAATCGTCTACTCCACTTCCTCCCTACATTGACAGCCTCCTCCTCCCTTTGTCGGCATCTTCCCTTCTCCCTACGTAGAGGTTTTCTTTATGACTAGGAATTCTCATTATATAACTTCTGATTTACAGAACTTATCTATCTATGACAACTATAGAGGCAATGAAGACATCATTGGTTACGATAATGGAATCTCTGTTACTCACACTAGTTTTATAATACTTAATTCAAATACCAATATTTTTACACTCGATGATATTTTGTGTGCATCTCACATTAAAAATATATCATTTCTGTAAACAAAATAACACATTTATTGAGTTTTTACATGACTCATTTCTTATAAAGGATTTGAGTATGGGAGCATCTTTAGTTTGGCCAGAATAAATATAACATATATGAGTGGTCGTTAGCTTTACAAATCACCCAACTAAATGCTCTTACTTCAGTTGTTACTTCAATCAATGTGTGGCATCATTGCCTTAGGTATCCATCATCCTCCATTCAACAACTACTTTTTTGTTACTCCCTTTCAACTTTCAAATCGGGTAGAATTACAAATCATGTGATGATTACCCTAGGAATAAAAATTATAGACTATCTTTTAGAAATAATTAGTTTATGTGAAGCATACATGCATAGTTAGGGATAACATAAATAACCAAATACTTTTGAGTTTTTAAAGATTTAGAATTTTATGAAATAATTTTTCAAATAGTGATTACTGTTGTAGGATTTTGGTTGTATCTTATTTTTTGAAATAAGAAGTTTATATTAGATTATGTAGTTCTATTTAGTTAGGTAAGTTATATTATTGATATGATTGGATTCTAATGATAGTCATTAGCTAATAGAAAGGAATTTTAATTATGATATGATTTTTTAGGATATGACTTTAGTGGAAGAGACTCTCCTAATAATTTATTATAGACCCTATGTTCTTACCTATAAATAGACCAGACCTCTTAGAGACTCAATAATCATATACACGAATGGGTATACAGATATGTAGATACATGATATGATTGAGGGATTACAGATCTTTTCTCATCTTCCTTTAGTCACGTGAACCAATCAATAAGAGATTAGAGATCTTCTCTCATATCATATCTATCCCTAAATTCATCAATCATAATCAGTTCTATGAAGGATAGAAAGAGAGAAAAAAACGAGTCTAGTTCTCCTTATAGATCGGTATTACTATAGATTTCGGATCCGATGACGATATGCTTATAGATCAGATAAGAGCTTTCTGAGCAGCATCGAATGATATGCATGGGAAATATTTAGATCTATTATTATTTGATTTTAGTCTTAGTATTAAAAAATTTCATAAAATAATAACATATTATGATTTTTATGTTTGATCCTCAAAAAAAAATTATAATAACATATTATAATAACAAAATGCTGTTTTCATACTTCACGAAGATTAGGATGACCAGCTTCCAAAGTCGTTTGATCCTCAAGAAAAAATTGGTCACAGAAATTTTTAGGTGATTTGGAGTTTTGTACCTCTTCAATTAGTTGATTCGAAGAACGCGATTTGCCTGGTAATGTGTCAATCACCCGGAAGAATCGTCTCTTCAGAACATGGTATATCATTAGCTTGTTACGAGTCTACTTTACACTTGCCGTGATTTCTCTCTGATATACGTACACTGGTGCACAATCAATTAACTCGATCTGAATGGAATCTAATTTGTCGTAAACATGCATTATTTGATATATGGAAGAAGGAAATTATGCCAAACACACCATCAAAAACAAAGTACCGATGCGTATAGAACCTCTTAATGATCATCTCCATAGTATATAGTTGAGCTGATTCCTCTATCCAGAAGCTGTCCATGGTAGTTGAACCACAATTCAGATTGGTCATTCTGACCTTAAAGTTATGACTATTCTATCAGTCCTATGATATCTAGTCTTTCTCTGTTCTCATCGTCTGCTCGCAGTTAAAGATCCTCTCATGTTCACCAATGGAGTACTTAAAGCATTCAGCATTCAACACCTTTGTACCTGCAGTCTGAATTCACCTTGAAAGAATATGTCACTGGATTGAAAGCATTCGAAAGAGAAGAAGGGACTTCATTTATTGCGTGGGATTGCTATATGCATAGTCTGAGCTCATCTTGGGACATTACAAGATGAGGATTAAGCCAGAGATTAGGGATTATGGTGGTCGTTAAGTCGACCGAAAACTTGGTTGCCAAGCTCATACCGGTTTCCTGCAACACTGGGGAGCTGCTGTGAATCCGCTGGAGGATGGTGGTGGTGCGATCCGTCGTAGAGAATTCTCAAGTTGGATGGATCAGCAGGAGGCCATTCCACCCTCTTCTTTGCCTTGCACTCCTTGTTTCGGCACTTGAAGTAGCTCCTGCACATGAGATAATGGAGTTGGAGGCGGCAGAAACATTTCAGAGCAGCTAATTCTCATACAACTTAAGATCAAACTGATACGCTTGTAGTTACTTGCCTGGTCTTGTTGATGTTCTTGATGTGTTTTTGACCGTACTTGTTCCACTGGTAGCCGTCGTCTGGCATTAAAGGTTGCCTTGCAGCACTTCCTACCTCTGGCTGCTCCCTGTGATCACCATCCTCTCCTCCCCTACTTACAGATCAGCATCAGGGTTATTTGATTGCGACTCTCAAAGCAGCAACTTCTCATCGCTTGCATGCATGCATTTGATCAAACCAGTTAGCTAAATCATGCGAAGCAAGTAAAGGAAAATTACGGTGAAGTAGATGCCACCAACCGAAACAAGTGCTAGAAGAAATAATCTGCTCACTGAAGAGAAAGAAGGAAGAAGGAAGGACAAGAAAAGAAAAGATAGAAGGAACAAACTTGTCCTCGCCTGGTACTACTAAAGATGGTTATCATGCATCGACCTATGGAACATATAAGAGCTCTTTTCTTATCCCACAGATTTGTTTCCATGTCCAAGAAATGGAGTTCTTGCAGTAGAAGACATAAGCCGTACTAGAGAGAGACAGAGAGAGAGAGAGAGAGAGAGAGAGAGAGAGAGAGAGTTACGGTAGAAGATGTGGACGGA